GCCTTGCTACAAAATTTTTTAAAGAAAATTAGCTGCGGGCCGGGTGCGGTAGCTCACGCCTGTAATCCCAGCACTTTGGGAGGCCGAGGCGGGTGGATCACGAGGTCGGGAGATCGAGACCATCCTGGCTAACACGGTGAAACCTCGTCTCTACTAAAAATACAAAAACAAGTTAGCCGGGCATGGTGGCGGCGCCTGTAGTCCCAGCTACTCGGGAGGCTGAGGCAGGAGGATGACGTGAACTTGGGAGATGGAGGTTGCAGTGAGCCGAGATGGCGCCACTGCACTCCAGCGTGGGCCGCAGAGAGAGACTCCGTCTCAAAAAAAAAAAAAAAAAAAAAAAAAGAAAATTAGCCAGGCATGGTGGCACATGCCTGTGGTCCCAGCTACTCAGGAAGCTGAGGCAGGAGGATTGCCTGAACTGGCGAGGCGGAGGTTGCAGTGAGCCAAGATGGTGTCACCGCATTCTGGCCTGGGCGACAGCGAGACTCAGTCTCAAAACAAACAAACAAACAAACAAAAATGAAAAGAGAGAGAGTAAATGGCCGGGAACAGCTCAGACCGTGCTGTGGAGGAGGCAGGAGCTTCCCCCGAGGCCTGGAAGCTACGGGAGGTGGGATGGAGCCCAGTGCAGCCTGGAGACAGGGTCTTGGGCCAGGCAGAGTCTGGAGCAGGGAGCGCCGGGGCCACAGGGGCAGCAGGGTGGGGAGAGGTGGGCGGCTCCGAAATCAGTAATTCCACATGGGAAAAATCAGGGCTGTACTTCCCACCACACACAAATGCATTTCCAATGAATTAATGGCTTCAGTGAGAAAAGCAAAGCTTGTAACTTTTAGAAGAGCATATGTGAAAACATATTGAAGAGCTTTGAGTAAGAAAGGGTTTTTAAGGACAAGACCCCAAAAAACTCAAACTATAAGAAAGAAAAGATTAATGCATTTGAATACATTAAAATTTAACAATTCTGCACATGCTTTAACAAATGAAGCCAAAGGCCACTCATGTAACCAACGTATAATCACGAAAAATACCCACCAGCCCAACAGGAAATGGGCAAAGAACTGAAACAGGTGACTTGCAGGAAAATCCAACGGCCCAGAAACATATTCGAGATGTTCCACCTAACTCGTAATCAGGGAAATGCAAATTACAATAAGAAGATTCCACATCACACTCAGCACCGTGGTGAAAACTCAACGTCTCCCATCGGGATGTTGGCCCGTCGGTGAGATGGGGTGTCTCACGCCCGCTGTGCACAGCCTCCTTGGAAGGCATCAGGCAAACTCGAGGAAGTGGGAGACATCTGGGCCTGCGATCCAGTGATTCCACTCGCAGGAGTATCTTCTGGAGAAATTCTTCCACTCTGCAAGAGGCTGCACTTGCAGCCGACTGCAGCTTTGCTCTTGGAGCGGAGGGTCCAATGGCTGGGGTCAGTGCACACCCCACAGAGTGACCTGAGGACAACCAGAGCAAGGCAGTCAACATAGGGGACAGCAAAGCCCTACATGAGCCAAAAACGTCCTCACGGAGGAGCCTGCGCTCTGTGGGCCACACAGGCCAGCACTGAAACCTAAACCCACGACATCACTCAGGCATCGGGGCTGGGGAAGGCGTCCACCTGGTAACAGAGCCCAGAGGCTTAGGAGGCCAGAGGGCTCAGACTCCAGGAACCTGGGCCGGGAAGTACATGGGGTTGGTTGGCCGTAATCTTCCGTCTTCTGTCCTCAATATTTAAAACTTTTTTTATTTAAAACATGTTCTTAATCCACATTAGTAGATTTCACTATCCTGGGGACAGCAGAAGCGGGAGGAGGACCCGTGGGCTTCCGTGAAGACGGGGAGGAGCTGCGTGGACTCCGCCCGCCGATTAGAAAGCGTGGGTCCCGGGCCTGGGCCCACCTCCCCAAGCTCAGCCTGGGGCCAGCTCTGCCGGCTCCCGACCGGACCTTGAGGCTGCTCTGATCCTGCTGTGGCTGTCACGGATGCTGGGCCCAGGGCGGCCGCACCTGGAGTGTGGCTCTGAGGCCAGATCTGTGTTGTTTGTGGACATTTACGTGTCTGTGTGTGTGTGCTGTGAGCATATGTGCACACCCGTCAGCGTGTGTGTGTGTGCGCCCAGCGGGCAGCCCATTCAGCTGGTGTGGGGTGTCGTCTTTTTTCTAGCTAAGACGCGGCTCTTCCCCATTGGGATGGGAATATGGGCACGCGGCTGATGCATTAAAGGCACCACGTGCTGCTGGCGTTGCTGCTGTCTTAATGGGCTTCGCTGCGCGGCAGGGCAGGGCTGGCAGGTGGTAATGAAGGAGACTGATGACTCCGTGGCTACAGTAACTGAATGGTTGTGAGTGTCTGGTCAGACTGTCAATGGGGGGCATGCCCTGCGAGCCAATGACGATAGGCTGCCTGGGTGGGCACAGAGAGGACTGAGGGTGTGGCGTCTCCCTCCTCTGCAATGCCAGGGTGTGCAGGTGCACCTATGTGTATCTATGTGTATGTGACGGCTGCACACACGCTTGCTGATGTGGACTCACACGCACCCCCGTGTCCCAGGGAGATGGGGCAGGGCCCACAGGGGAACGAAGCTGGGATGGGCACCACCAGAGAGGCCGAATTGCACAGGGGTGGACACAGAACGGAGGCAGCGGCTGGTCCAGGACAGTCAGGGCCTGGCTGGCACAGCTTGGGGTCCTGTGCCCACCCTGTGCTCCTAAGGCCCTGGGCCAGTCTGGGAGCACCCTGGGTTCTGAGGATGCGCTCACTGGCCTGCAGGCACCAAGCTCCACCCGTCCCAGCCTGGACAGGGCCCTGGGGAGCCCACTGGTCAGGGACTGAGGGGACCCCTCTGCTGAGCCTCTCATGCTGAGCGGCCTCTGCGTGGCGCTCCCTCCCCATCCCTGGAGCTGGGCTAGGAACCTTCTGGAACATGCCTTCCACGGGACCCTCTCATGCCCTTGCACGACTGCACCTTGTTCCTGTGTCACCAATGAGGACATGGGCTCTGAGCCACCGAGTGACCTGTTGGGGGCAGAGCTGGTGCCAGCCGTCCCAGCTTGAGGACTTGCCACAGCTTGGGACCCATGGAGGGAAGGTAGGGGGAGGTGCTGAGGGGATGAGGGGATGAAAGGCAGAGCTGGGCCTTGAGGCAAGGCCAGTGGCAGCACTGGGCTGCTGGACACAGCAGATGGCCCCAGGGAAGTGGCCCTGCCCTGCCCTGCCCTAGAGACTCCTCCGTCTCCAAGTCCTCGTGGGCCTGGCTTCACGTCCCCAGCTCTTGCCGGGTGTGACGGGTGGGCATGGAGGGTGCCTCAGCCTAGCCCAGGGAGGACCAGCCACGCGGCAGGAAGGCGGAGGGAGTGCCTAGAGCCAGCAGGGCGGCCACCAAGACCCCACACTGACGCAGGGACCGAGGCACCCGGGCCGGTTTCCAGGAGAGCCCGGTGCTGGCCCCTCCCTTACTCTTAGGGTTCCCGCCCAGGCAGGCTGGTGTGGGGACTGGGAACCAGCGTGACCCAAGACAGGTCGCCTGCGTGTCCTCTCACATCCGATTCCACCAACAGCAAGGTTCCTTCTGCAGGCTCCTGGGAAAATCCATTTTCCGCCTCTTTGGGCTTCCGGAGGCGTTTCCTTGGCTGGGGGCCCCTCACAAAGCCAGCAGTGGCCGGCCAGTCCCCTCACACTCACCTCTGCCACAGCTTCCCTCTTCCACTTAGCAGGATGGGGGTACCCTGTGCCCTTGCGGGTCACCCAGGGCAGCCTCCCTGTTGAGGGAGCTGATGGACCGTCCACAGCTGCAGGTCCCCGCTGCTGTGTGAACTCACAGGTCCCAGGGTGAGGAAGCGGGGGTCTTCGGGGCCGTCATTCTGCCGTCCACAGGTGGGAGCCTCCTCACAGGGCATCGGGCCTCAGTGGCAGCTGGAGAGCTGCAGGGACTGTGGGGTGCCCAGCAGGGCGGGCTCAGTACTGCCCGCAGGACCACCCTGCTGTTGGGGCGACTCGGCGGCTTGCAGCCTTCTCAGCTCAGTTCCTGTCAGCTGACCGGGACGGCCCTGTCCCGCCTGCGCTTGCCCTAGGAGCTGGGGGTCTCCATCCAGCAAGACTGCGAACGAGGCCACCCCGAGATCGGCTGCCACAGATCACATGCTGGCCCTGGCTGCCGGCTACGGCCAGGGGACACCCTCCTTGAGACTCCCAGCGTGAGGCTTAGCTCCTGAGGACCAAGTGGCCTCTGCATGGCGCTCCCTCCCCACCCCTCCGCCTCTCCAGATCTCCTGCCTGGCTCAATGCACGTCCATCCTGGGCCCTTCCAGCCTTACCTGGCCGAGCCATGGCCTTGCCCACCTGCCTGGGCCATTCCCTCCTGACCGGGTGCGATCTGCAGACGGCAGTGTCAGCGTTGCACGGAGGAGCCGCGGCCGACGCCCACAGCACGTGCTATGTCCGTAAGCTGCACCCAGTCCAGCCTGGCTGCTCCCCGTGGGAGCCTGAGCTTGCAGGCCAGAGGAGACGACCTGGGGCTTTGGCCCCAAGCCTGTGAGTCACACCCCTGCCCTCAACTCACCTGCCTCAGCTGCTCATGTGCAAAGCAGGCTGAGTGCGCTGACTTCAGCGGGTGTGAGAACCCTGGGAAGGCACTTGGAGGGTGTCAGAACCTGGCAGGTGCCTCCAGTGTGTGGGACAGTGTGCGCTGGGTGTGTGGGGACCTGCGGCAGCGCCCTCCGGCCACCTTCAGAGGGGCTGGTGCTCAGGGGGTGCCTGTCGGACCCGGGACCCGCCCCTTCCCCACACCCGCCTGTGGGGACCTGAGGGCTTTCTGCTCAGAGAGAGGCAGATCCATGGTCGTCCATCCTGTGACAACCACATGCTCCCGAGCCGTGCTCATGGCTGTGCTCATGGCTGTGCCGGCGGCTAGCAGGGGATGTCGTGGCCATCGTGGGTGATGGATCAGGAGGTGCAGTCACGGATGTTTATCCTCCAGCGACCTGGTCTCTCCTGTGGCTGCGGAGGAGATGCACGTGGGGTGAGATCGTTCGTATCGATCCATTTGGTGAGCTGCTCATTCTCCACGTCGTCGACGTTTTCACACAGGGTCCACTTTACGCTTCCAGGCAGGAGAGCGGCTGCACTGACTGCTCTGTGGCCAGGGACGAGGGGACAGAATCGGCTCCCAGGGCCCGTGGAGGCAGGCTCTGTGGGCCTGGGGGCAGTGGGAGTCCTCTCGCTCAGGAAGGCTCTAGAAGGGCCACCAAGAGCAGCCGCACCAAGGACCTCGCGGTGAGAGCAGCTGAGCGAATCCTAACCTGATCAGACACAGTGTGAGGGGAGCTGGGGCCCCAGTGCAGCTGCCTCGGGCGACAGTGATCACAGGCCCGGCTGAGCCTGAAGATGACGACGGGGGAGGGAGGGAGGGACTGGTGTGCACATAGGTGTCCATGTGCATGTATGTATGCAGGCGTGTGTGTGAGACACATACATGTGACATGCAGGCATGTGTGAGACACATACATGTGATATATGCAGTCATGTGAGACATACATGTGCTGTATGCAGACATGTGAGGTACATACATGTGATATGTGCAGGCGTGTGTGTGAGACAGACATACCTGTGGGGTATGCAGGTGCATGTGTGAGACACACATACATATGATACATGCAGGCGTGTGTGTGAGACATACATACCTGTGGTCCACGCCCGTCTGCACACATCCCGTTACTGACGGTTAACTCAGTGGCCGGCGCACTCACCACCTTCTCACCAAGGCCGGCAACAAGCTGCTGTTCTGCACGAGGGCCTCCTCCCAGCCTCCCAGCAAACGAGGCCAGAAGCTTTGACACGAGGGTCTGGGAGTCACAGCTCCTCCAGGTCAGTGGTGCCCACAGCACTTACCACGCCGCCCACTGTCTCGCTCCATGCTGTGCCTGGCGCTGCATGTGTCCTAAGGCTCCTGCTCCCAACCCTGGTGCCACTGGGCCAGAGTCCAGGTGGGAGGGCGGTGTGGGGCATGTGTGTAGCCAGTTCCCATGGACAGGACTCCCGAGGGAACAAAGCCCCACTCCTTGGTCAGGGCCAGAAGGGCCCAGAGAGAGCAGCAGCCTCAGTTTACAGAGTAGGGAAACTGAGGCAGAGCAGGCTCAGGCCTTCTGTGTTGGGCCTGGACACCTGGGAGGAAGGCAGCCCGAAGGGCCGCTACTGGGCGGGAACGTGGGCCCGGCTTGGCACTGCGCAGCTGCCTCAGGCCTGTCCTGTCCCGGGGGGCGTCTAAGCCTCAGTGGACCCACCAGCCTAATGCCTGGGCTGCTGGCTCGGGCCCTATCTGTGGAACGAACGGAGGAAGCAGGAGCTGGGCCCATGGTCTCCCTGCCCAGGAAGCCGCAGGTGGAGGGAAGGCAGAGGGTGGCAGGGGTTTCACCCTGGCCCCTGATGAGGGAGGGGCAGGAAGGACAGGGTGGCAGCTACCACAGGCTGCCATGTGGGACTTTGCTGGCAGCAGCAGGCACGGTGCCACAGCTTTGGGGACCAGCTGGTCACCAGGAGTCCCGCCATCCCCTGGTGCCTGAGAGAAGCTGGGCCACTCGCCTGGGAGCAGCTCCTGGCAGCACCTCCGGGTCTGGCTGGGGTCAGAGCTGGCTGACTTTTCAGATTCAAGCCAGCCTCCCCAGGAGGTCAAAGGCAGCAGGCACGCAGAGGCGGCTTCGGACCCGGCGGGTGGCAGCCCTGCTCCCAGGGCACCTGCTCCTGGGTCTAACTTGTGTGGCGTGGGCCGCCCAGCAAGGGGCAGGGTGTGTGGGGCAGGTGCTGCCAGCCATGTGGAACTTAGCTATCCTTGTGGGGCTCAGTCACGGTGACTTGGCAAACAGGGCCCCCTGCCTGTGTCTCCAGAGGCCAGGTCAGCACCAGAGACCAAGACGGGGAATAAACTGGGCTTTAATGGGGAGGGAGGAGCGGATGAGTTCCCTCCAGGATGAGCTTGTTCTCGGCTGGTGGGGCGGAGGGGAAACGGCCTGGCTGGGTGCTGGTGGACTGTGTGCACGAAGGCCGACCGACCCGGCACAGGAACCGGCTGGAGAGTCACTCGTGACTTTAGAACACGGCATTCAACTGCACATCCTTGGAGCACCATATTCTGGTCAATAAGCTGGTCAGCGAGCCCCAGGCTTTCTGTAGCTTGTGGTATTGTCAGGAGAAAGTCATCCTCGTTATTTTGAAAGCATATGATCTATACTATTGGATAAAGCAAATGATTATGGAATCAAGTTTCAGGATTAAAGGAGAGAGATGCAAATGTAAAATTAGTGGAATTAAGTAAAAATCTTGCTATGTTAAATTTGACCCTTTCCCCAACAGAAGGCATTTCCTTAGCTACTAGCAAGGCCTAGACACAAACGTCTGACCTGTGGTCTCTGAGTGCCGTTCCCTTGAGTCCAGGCCTCCGGCGGGAGGGCAGGGCCCCTTGCTTTGACTGTTCCCAGGGTCAGGCCAAGGGGATGCACAAGGCCACATGGTGAGGCAGGAGTTCGGGTGGGGCAGGGCTGTGGACTGGGGTGCCCACCGGTCCCGGAAAACAGGGCTGGGATGCCGCTGTCTGGGATGCCTCAGACAAGCTTGGTGGGCAACATGCTTAAGTGGGCAAGGGCCCCAGGCCACGTCCACCTGTCCCCGAGGCACGTGAGCCTGAGATGGCGCTGGTCTCCTGCCCGGCACACTCGCTTCTGACCACCCTTTCAGACATGCATTCCAGGGGCAGAATGTTCTGGGTAAGTTGAGGCCAGACACTGCTGGGCTGTTACTTCCCAGAGGCTGTGGGGAAGAGGCAGCCTATTCTTCTGAAAATTGTCCAGAAACTTCTGGATTCTGCATGTGGCCCCCGTGCGTCTGAATTGACCCTGCTAAGTAAATGCAACGTGGGTGCACCCAACACTGACAGCACACGTTCCTGAGGTTTCTCCATCGGCCATGCCTGTGGGCTCTGGACCTGGGTCTGGCGAAAAGCTGGCGAGCCACAGAGATGAGATGGGGGCCATGGGGCAGGTGGGGGTCTGGGTAGAGACGGTGATGGGAGGGAGGGTTCACTGGCTGAGGGGCAGTGTGGAGATGACCTGGAAGGTCTGTGCGATGGGGGGTGAGGCAGGGTCACAGCAGAGCCGCTCCAGGGCCGTCCGTCCACGCACTTTCTGTGACACATGCTGACGGACACACAGTAGTGAGCAGGGTGGCAAGTGTCCCCACAGCGGGAGCTGCCCTCCTCCGAGAGTGGCACCAGGAGATGCCCAGGGCCCATGGGACAGGGCTGGTTCTGGGAGGTTTGTGAACCCTCAGTTCCTCCCAGGAGGCCCTCCGGGTGGCTGCCCAGACCTATGTGGACTGGGAGACACTGGCTCACGGGTGAGCCACAGGCACGGGCGGATGAGTCTGCCACAGTCACAGGCCTGGGCACAGTGTGGGACGGCCCTCGTTTCCTCCAGTGGAGTCTTTATTTCTTTTTTGGGGGACACCTCCGGGACCCGCCCTGGAGAGCCTGGCAACTGCAGGGCACTGTGGGGCAGGAGGTGCCTGAGCACGTGAGGCCAGCCGCGAGGTCGGTGGTGACCAGGCCGGGGTGGGCACGTGGGGCCAGTCGCGAGGTCAGTGGTGACCAGGCAGACGTGGGCACATGGGGCTGGCTGCGAGGTTGGCGGTGACCAGGCAGAGGTGACACCTGGGACGGTCTCCTTGAGCTGCAACAACTGGCCCAAGGCTGGGGACCTCACGTGGTGATTTCATCCCAAACAGTTTTTGTTCTACGTGACCTGATTTGGGGCATTCAGGCTTAAGGGAGGCCAGGTCTCGGACAGGCCCCCGCGGTGCTCGGTGTGAGGGAGACGTCTGCTGCTCCCTGCCAGACCCGCAGTCCGAGTGCCCAGCCCCTGGTGCGCGGGTCATGAGGGGTGGAAGCATCTGATGAGTGCCTTCTTGTCAATCTTGCCCATCTGGTTCCGCGGGATCTCCTCCACCAGCACGAGCTCCGAGGGCACGGCGTACGGGGCCAGGACATCTCTGCAGAGACAAGCACAGCCTGAGACGCGTTGTCCCAACACTGCCCAGCGGTAGCTCAGGTGCCCAGCAGTGTGGACAGGTGCCCCTTGGACGCTGCAGCCTGGCCAGGCGCCTCGGCCATCCTGAGGCCTGGCATGCGTCCTGGGCAACCGCAGCTGTCTCTGCCCTAGCAGCCCAGGGTGGTGACTGCAGGAGGTGCCCAGCATGCCATTACCACTGGTACCACAGAAGTCATGGTGCATGCAGGCCTTGGGCGAGGGCACCCGAGGACAGGCCTGCAGAGTGGCCTGTAGGGCAGAGGGACCCCCACACTGGGCCAGGCATTCCAAGACCCCGCACTGGAGCTGGAACGCCCCATGTCATTCTGTGGCCGGTTCCCCTTCCAGAGGAGGCATGTGGAAGGGGCTGGGGAGTGGGTGGGCAGGTGGGGCAGGGGCAGCCTGCCCTGCATGG